AGAGAGAGAGAGAGAGAGAGAGAGAGAGAGAGAGAGAGAGAGAGAGAGAGAGAGAGAGAGAGAGAGAGAGAAAGAAGGGAGAGAGGAATAAGAAGAATATAAGGAGAGACTGAAGGAAAAAGGCGAATGTTCTTGTTCAACGACCGTGTCGTCTGATGCGCGCACCTCCCCCGCTCACACTCAAGTTTATCCTCCCTCGCAAGCTTTTATCACGACCCTACAGCAGCAGATGCTGGGTCAGGCCGATCGTCGTACCTGATCGATGATCATCCTCGGGATCGCTCCTCAGGACGTGAACGAACAACCGCTCTGGGTGATGCCTCAGAGATGTCTGAGGTGCCGAGGAGAGCGTGCGTCTCGTAACGGGTTCAGGAAACTCGATGCTCTCTAAAGCGTAGCACGCAGCGTGCGCGGCTTCCCGCCGCCGACGATTGGCCGTTTCCACCAGGCACGTGGAGCCGGTTGGCCAGGTAAGAGAACTCGGATTCACAGCTGCTCGGCGAGCAGAACCGTGCCGAGGCGAGGAATGTTTCAAGAGGAAGCGACAGAGTAGGATTGAGTGACGCCGTTAAGAGGAGTTGTATGCGTAGCGTACGATTGACTTTGACGTGATCTCGATCTTGATCAGCCCTTAATTAGTGACATCCGTCTGAACGAGTGGCCTTGGTAGCTTCGCTTCAAGAACTTGATTAATTTTTTAAAATATTGTAAATAATATGATTTTAAGATCTAATTTGCCAAGCGCAACTCGCGGACGTTAAAATCGAGTTAAAATAATTATTTACTCGCAGATAATCGCTGATTGTCCCGTTTTAAATCCTTTCCGCCGTTTACCATGCCAGCAGTAAAATTAATCACAAAAAATGGCCGTTATCTCTCCTTAAATCTACACCATATTTACAGATAATGAAGGTAGAAACCGCAAAGAAGTAAATCGCTTAAGATATAATTATCAAGTTCAGCAAACTGCTCCATGCAGAATGTATGAGAGAGATTGTTACCAATTAAGGATTAAAAGCGTCTCGAGTTTTCGAAGAATTAAGTATCCCACATCTTTCAATTCGGGTTGAGCATACGAATACTGAACCATCGTGTTACAAGCGGTGTTTCGCGGGTTGATACGAAATTCATGGCGATAAGCCGGCTTCCGTTGTGACTGCAGATCTTGCATTTGCATGAGATCTCTGGTGTGAGCGATCGTCACGCGCTGCTGATCGTAGAAGGGTGTACCTTCAAGGGTATCGAGGAGATAAAGGCAAATAATACACATTTACGATTCGCGAGTAACGAATTGTTGCGGAAGGCACGTCGAGTAATGTCGAGATTGCGATTACGTATAGAAATATTTATGTACTGTATGAAAATCGACAATCATAAGAAAGAGGAGAATCAATTATTCGGATGTATATTTCTTCGTGATTAAATATGTGACGAAGGTTGGAAAGTTAATCAAATAAATCGACAAGGTTGACGCGTTATTCCTTCAGCAATGCTATAAATAGTAAGAGAAACATAAATTTTTACTAAACTTAGCGCATCGATACCGCGGATTATGCGAGTACCCGCGGGTATTCGCGAGAATCTCTTACCTAGAGGCTGTCCGGCTGCTGTCGAAAAAAGAATAAACGAGATTAATCGCCCTAACGTGTAAAAACATATGCGTAGGAGTTACGTAGAGCGATGGCGCAATTAGTCTTGCAGAAATTGCTAGGAGGATCGGATCCACAATGCGCTCGCAGGAATTATCCGATGCAAGCAACAACCTGAACGCTGTTAAGTTATGGCGCTTGTATTTCTCTTGCGCAACGTGTGGAATATGAGCATCCGAGACGCGTTCTACGCCGAACCTTTGCAGCTTTACGTCACAAGCGCAAAGCAATCCTATCGATATCAAAGCACATAAATTATACAGGGTGTACAAAAGAAACCATTCAGCATTTATATAATAGATATAATACACACCAGACTATCTATCACATAAATGCTTTCTTTTTTACCACCCTGTATAATCTGATTTGTGTGCAAAGTCAAAAATATCACGACGTTTAAAATATTATAAATATTTACTAATTATAACGTTTGATAATTTTAATGATAAGCAATACCACACGAAAAATGATTAATTTTTCAGAGACGCAACGATCTCACTCACCATATAGACAAAAATGGAGCAAATCAGGCATTAATTATCGCGATGATTATAAGAATTATTTACTCCTACCTGTACAAACGAATGCGATGGCTCGAAGGAAAGCGCTCGTGCCCTCATTCGAGGCTGCGAATTTTCTCAACGTTTTATATTCATGAGAAATATTACACGTCATCGTCACAATGTTACGGTAGTGACATATTAATTAATTTTGACTATGAAAATAGTCGCGAGTGCGAAGTTTCGATTTATGTGAAAGGAAACGAGACTATCCAGAGGTCTGTTTTTTCTCCTGCACTGTCTGAACTACAGTGCATACAGTTGAAATGAAACAAACGTATATCTGATTCACTTCAACTTAATTGTTACACCGTATGCACTAATTCAGTTTATTTTTATTAAGATTTTCTTAAATAATGTCTGAATATGTTAATACTGCTCTCTGATTGGTCTATCTTAAGACTGTACTTAAGACAGTCTAAAATATAAGAATCGACCACATGAATATCACACACAGTCAAGAGATATTAATATCTTAAGACATTATTAAAGACAATCTTAAAATAAAAACGGAATACCGGCCAAAATATAACATTTCCGTGGATGTCGTTAAAAAATTTTGTGTGATTAATCAAAAGTTAAATCTTAAAAATCAGTATAAAACCATTATTAGAAATTTGCTGCTAACCAAAATCAATTGTCATTACGTCCTGTTATTGGTACGCAAAATTTCTTTATTTATTCGTCTAAATTAATCTGTATAAGTTTCAATCAACGTTCTCGGTCCTTTTTAATACAAAAGGATTAAATTAATACAAAACAATACGTAATACAAACTAGAAATTATGGTATGCATACTATTTGAGTCACGATCGTCTGTTGAAATATACAGATTAATCCAGACGAATAAATAAAAAATGTTCGCGCACCAATAACCGTGTAGGCTTTTAATAATAATCCTTAATTGACTTTTTAATCCTTTCTTATTGTTAGTAGATTCATTCTCAGATATGTATATTATTTATTTATATTGTTACATCACGATCCTATCGACATTTTTGCGTCCTTCCTTCGAGCCGCTTGAGCAGGCGGCGAGTTAATTCACGAAAAAAGCACACTTACGTCACAGGCGTTAGAAACATCGCTCGTTTCCGTCTCGTCCGGTGTGGCCAGGGGCGCGCGGGGGGACGAGGGTGCAAGGTAATCGTCTTGCTTCCCTTCATTATCGTCCCTCGTCGCGTCACATTCCGTCGCGACTGGCGCGTCCTCCGGTCGTTCCTCGGCGTCTACCGATTTTGTGGCCTCCTCGACTGTGGTCCACGAGTCGAGATTTCCGATCTGCTCGGCGACGAGCTGTCTCGTCTCCGAAAAGATCGTCACGCTCGTGTCAGACACCACAACCTCGGTTTTTTCGATGAAAGTCGAGTCTGACGCCGAGAACTCGCTCGAGGACTCGTCTACCGGATTCTGCACATCTTCCGCGACAAGACACTCGGGCGATTCGTTTTCCAGATTCGATTCCGATGTTGCTTGCGATTCGGCGATATCTGATGATACCACAATCTGGGGTGGCTCCTGATCGATTTCTTCGTTCAGCACACGGCGTTCTATGTCGAGGAATTCCTGCGTGCTAGCCATCTCCGCGGATATCTCGGACTGGCAGATGATGCCGTCGTCGGAGAAACAAACATCCTCCAGTTTCGAATCGATTTCTTCGAACGTTGCGGAGAGTGACGATTTATCCCGACGGATCGGCGATGTAGGAATCTCCTCTTCCCGCTCGACATAATTGTCTCCATAGGAATCATTAAACGTATCGATATGTTCGTTCGTGGAAGACTCTTTACTCGTCCTAGAGAACATCAGTTTTTCCTGTGGTAGATCCTGTGGACAGTACTGTAGACGTTCTTCACAATCGGGGAACCGATCAATCTGCTGGGAGCTATTTAGAAGCGGCACCTGGTCGGTCCATGTGTTCGAAATATCAATATCTTTCTTTTTTTCCCGGTTGATGCAATTTACTTCATCAAGTGCCTTATTCAACCTATCTTCCTCCCGTTGGTGTTTGTCCATGGGACAACTTGCAGGAATCGGAAAAGACTGGGACTTCGATCCATCTACTGAATCATTCGTGACATTGCCAGAGTCTGGATGATCCGTGGGAGGAGGAACTACCTTGACAATTTCCTGACACTCCTCACTATTGCTGCTAACATCGACAGCTTCGTCGCGGCTCGACTCTTGATCACCTTCGTTCGTTTTCTGAATAATTATCGGCGCAACGCCAGCTTTCGACTGCTCGATGAACGCCTGATTCTCTTCTTCGTCCGGTTCCGATTTCACAGCTTCGATGTTGGCATGTGGGGACACGTGACCATTTCGATGATCATATGGTTCCTCGATTAAAGAATAATGCCCACTCTCGGCAGCTATGAACTCTGTATTAACATCAACGAGATTATGCCGACAATCCAGGACGATTTTCTTGATTGTCTCCGGTTGAGTGACAACATTTTCGGTCTCTTCGACGACAGCATCTTCGTCACTTTTACTCGAGCAGATCCTCAAGGCTAGTTCACTCTCTATTAACTCTTGCAAGCTTTTATCGTCGTTCTCAAGCTCGTTACGCGTATTGTTTGTAAGTACGAGATCGTCATCGTCGCACAATGAAATTAGTTGGGTGTTACTCGTGGTTAAATCATCCAAATCAATCAAACCGTTGTTAGATTGTACACCGCACACCTCGTTCTTCTTGCTACTTACTACATTGATCGACTTCTTTGTCGCCACCTCCGCCATCGTGGATCCTCGTGCGATCACACCGTGGATACCTGAAACAATTTAAAGACATATAATTTAAAATATCTTTGTAATATATTTAATATACTAAGTTGCAAATTGTGCACCTCTTCAAAAATGTCAACACGATATAATCCTATTAAATTTTCCTATGTTTCAATATCTTAATGCCTTTATAAGAAACATTAAAAATATACATATTTTAAAATATAGTAAGAAAATTAATTCTCTCTCTTTCTCTCTTTCAATCTCCCTTCTCTTTCTCTTGTACAAGAAAAGTATAAATTTATAGAAATGACTGTGGATTAATACAGAGATGAAACTGGGCAACGGGAACGCAAAATGTAGGATCGATAAATAACACTTATGAGCAACCGGTTCTCCTATGTAATTTCGAGCTAGAAAGTGCGAGACAAAATAAAAATTCTTCGGGATGCGCTACTGCAAAACGAAAAAATGTAAGAAATTACGTATCAAATTAACGTTTTAAGTGATATAATAAAATAGATTAACATTTTAATTGATATAATAAAAATGACATTTATTTCGATGAAACAACGTTTTTCATATTGAAACATAAAAATACATAACACGTTTGTGTATTCTCGTAAAAAAAATAAATTACGCATACATATTAATATCAAGATCATCTTTATAAAAACAGAACTTTTATAAGATCGAATAAATTTCCAAAGATGGAAACTTATTTAAATATTCTATAATTTTGTTTTGCAACTTTTTAATCTTTTCATAATCACTGATTACACTAATTATAACGCGGAGATATTTAACATTAGAAATACTGGGAGGTTTATCATTATTGATCGTTTTTATTTCAAGATCAATATTATGTCTCTTGTGTAAAAGATTCTGAATCTTTTAGTTTTCAATAATTTTGTTTTTTATATTGAAATATTTAGTTCTTTATCATTTTTTAAACCTTTATGATAATTTATTTATTCACCCTATTCGTAATGTGGCAATATTTAATATATCTCATTTTAAGCCGTTTTCTATTCAACATACAACATAATAATGTGAGCGTGTGAATGCAATCTTCTCGACCCGCACAATTGACTTTCTTCGTATCGATATACAAAGAAAGCTCTTGAGATATACGTATATGGCAAACCATCTGCCACTCGATGAAGTAGCGCCGGTTTATGGTTATGCAAAATAAAGCCCGCGCAAGTGGTCATGCAAGATCATGGTCAAATGAATATGTAACGTGCCTGTTAGGCAACTTCTGACCAATTCAATATTGCTCGTTGAAATTTGCAACCGCAATATTTTGATGCAATTTTGCGGGCGATGATATATATAGTTAAAATTACTGGGATCTTATTCAACAAAAACAGTAACTCACAATGTGAATTTCTGATTTTTTTTTGTATTGCATTCGTTCATGTTAAATTTACATGAAGATCTATCGCAGATCTCTAGATAACAAATTGAAAAAGTAAATCACATAGATGAAAATTTAAGTAAATTATAATTTCTCGTATTGTGTTTTAAGAATATATATATATATATACATGTATGATTTATAAAACATTTTCTTTTTGTAAAAAGAAAAACAATTTTCTCTTTGATAATAGCGTTTTAGTTTCTGGAATATATCGTATTTTCGGTGCATCGTTACTACATTTAGTAGATATACGAGCGCTACGCTTTCGAGATCTCTCGGTCCCGCTTATGAAATCGCGGAAACCGTCGCAGTGGAATGCGGGCTGTCTTAATATTCTCATACGCGGATGTGTGGGTACCAAGACACACCAGGAGCACCAAGTCCATCGCGATATTAACGGAAGTTACGCCTCTATAGGACTCGGTCGCGACTGCAAACCGACGTTGTTGGCTGGTAAGCCAACCCTCCTATTATTAGCCATTCTGCAACGTCGCTTTTAAGCTTCTGCGACGGAATGCACTTTCAAAATATGAAATCCAAAACTGTTGAAAAATACTCTGTCGAGTCAGGCAAAACCGTTAATAATTACTTTGACATCCAGCGTTAAATATTTCAATAATCAAAATTCAAATCGAGATCCTATTGAAGACAAATGAAGACGACAGTTCCACTATTTGAAATTTCCTCGAGTCTCCACTCATAAAAATTATGCTAATTCAGGTTACGTAGCGTGTGAATTGAAAGTAGAAAACAATCTTGCAATTAGAAAGGTATGGCGTTTTGCGTCCCAATTCGTTTACGGCGTTTTACTTTAATGAACACGCATCTTCCTTCTTGGCTGCTCGAACGTTGCAACTCTCTTCGGTAATTTGACAAAATTCCAGCGCCGCGTACACAGATCCCCCAGCCGAAAGAGTTTATAAACAGAGGACCACACGGTGGTCGGCTCGATCCCATCGTAAACCGACACGATCCGGAGGGTTCAAAATTAGAAAGTGGCAATCTCACGCATCTTCGCCGCGCGCACTTCTTGGTTTCTCTCCATTTTCGAGACAGGGCGATATCCGAAATTGCGAGCGAATTTTTTAAAGCGTTCGCTGATACGTTTGTATCTCGCCTTTGAATCTCTTTTTCGCGCTGTTTAATTTAATCTCCCTCCCCGTCCACATCGTTCTCCCGTGATTCTATCTTGCCTTTTCTCCTTCTCTTAACGTTCTCGTCTAACCCGCTCTCTTTCTTTCTTTCTCACTCTTTCTCTCTTGCTCGTTTCTCTTTACTCAACGTTTCACCGAGGTCGTTCCTCGGGTTCACGACCGAGACTATGGAGGTATTCTTTCTCTCTCCCTCTCTTCCTACGTCTCGTTTTCTCCTTCAGCCTCTACGTGCCTCTACTCTCCTTCTGCTTCCATGCCTTTCCTCTCGTCCTGCCACCTCTCGTTCTCTCGTGTCTTAGCTTCCCTCTCGTTTCAACCTCTCTCTATTTTTAGAATGACACACTACCGCGATTCAAAGACGCGTGCTGGACGCATCGTACTCGTCCTCGGAAAATGTTCTGCCCAAATGCGGCGTGCAAACGAGAGTGAGCGTTATGGAAACCGAGAAGAAAGAGACGGGAGAATTTTTTCTCACTTAGGTCAAGCGACAGGTGCACACAATATATGCACCCTGCCGTGCTGTAAGGCCGAGTATAACCCTCGCCCAAGTCGCAGAAAAGTAAAACTCGAGAGATTGCCAGAGCAAATCATGAGAGATCAGAATAAGCGGGGTTTAAGAAGCCAAGAAAAGAGACAAGACAGCACGAAAAGAAGATGTGGATAAAAAATCTCGCGAGAGATTAACGTCTGAGTTCCAAGTTTAATTATTAAAGCATTTCAAAAAGATTGATCGATCAACATGCGGATAAAAATCTCGCGAGAGATCAACGTCAGAGGTTCAAGTTCAATTATTAAACTATTTCAAAAAGATTGATCAAATATTAAAGGTAGAAAGAAGATCGTATTCAAAGCCTTATCGAAGAAGTTGAATTACACGTTTCCAGAGTTTTTAATCCATTTTAATTATAATTTATTGTTAAACGTATCCCGCACATAAAAATTATAAAAGCTTTGTGTAACATCACGCTAATAAAAGATAATTGATCACGCGATCAAATTATGTTAGGTATATACCTATATTGTAAAAGTCCAGGGTCCACAACGTAAGTTTTACGGTGAGAGACGACGACGGATATAACCGCAACGTAAATTACCGTAATAAATACAGTCTTGTTTACGCAATTACATTCCATCGAGAAAAATGCCTCGGTATCGTTTAAGGTCGTCATCCAAATAGCTAAATCTCATATCGATTCGTGTTTCGGATTTGAGAATCGACACGAACCAATGAATGCACGCGAGAATGCATTGCACATGCCGTTGTTCCTTTTCGTGGCCACTTGTAATGTTGCGACCACATTATGTAGAAGTGCGCTCCGCTAAGTACACCTCTAAACATACCGATTCTACGGCGCGGCGTATAGGAAACGATTCTATGCGTTCATAAAGAACACCGTTCGTACACCCGCGATCTACCAAGCGCTGTGCTACGGAAATTAAATTCTCGAACGGTACCGAGAGAGCCGGTACGTAAATACCAAACGCGGTCAATGAGATAATGAGCGAGTCCGAGGTTACTTTCGATAAACTTCATCGAAGTGCTGTTGAAAACATTTCTAGTCATATATAAGTAAAATGTCTATATAAGCCCCTGTGGCTGTTAGTGCGTAAATAATATTTATAAGCCGATAAGAGATAATAATTCGCAAATAATTGAAATGCACTTACCAGCTAAATTAACTGCAATTTTTACAATTAACTTAGTCGATGAGTACATTCCAATGGCTTACCAATTATACCTTAACGACCGCGGAGACTCATATAGGCGTTTTACATATATAATATTTGATTTATTCTTGGAGCTATAAAATTATTTTTATTTTAATTTCTAGTCAACATACGCTCGCAAAAATACTGAATGGCGAACATTTTAAATCCTAATTAGTTTCGAGTTCTCTCAAATTAGCAAAATCGACACTTATTTATTTATGTTTCAATGAACTTTTAATTAATTTTTGACAAGCGATAAGAGCCAGAATTCACGTTTTTTTTTCATTTTGTCGCAAATGAAACGTCGCGGGCTTGTTTTATTGTTAGTCATTTAAATCTTACAGAACATGGTATGGGAATCGCGTGAAGTGCTAGGTGAAAATAGCGACGATTAATCTAAATGATGTGATTTAAGGAGTACACAACACGGCGTTTACCTGTGTGAGGAATCAACGCGTCAGATGACTGCGACCCCGTGTGTATGTCATAAAACGAGAATGTAATAGCATTCTGGCTGTAATCAATAATGTAAATTTTACTTCTCTGCTTCGCCCAGAGGCTGATGAATAATGCAGACGCTTCTCTGTCTGGATTGATCGTGATAGGCCTTCATCTCGATAACGTTTTACCGGAATAACATAGCGTCAGTGACTCGATCTGCAGCGATGTTGTGCTACTTTACGTATCCATGTCAAATTAGAGCACGCAGATCATCGAATAACCGAGCTACCTGCGCATTTCCTTATTCGATTGCTTTCGA